GCAGCACTGATCAGACCCAAAGCTCAGCTTCTTCTCAGTCTCATTTGTCTACCTTTCCTGTAATTCGCCATGTGCTGCTGTGGCTCGCAGGAGACCTGGACTTACTGCAGAGGTTCTGGTAACGTCCCCTTCCCCTGTTCCCTACAAAAGTGGATTAAAGATCTAAGTGAAAGATCTAAGACAGAACCACTAAACTTACTGGAAGAGAAGTTAGGTAGAACTCTTGAAGATATTGGCATAGGAGAAGACTTTATGAACAAAACCTCAGTAGCATGGGAACTGGCAGAAAGAATCAACAACTGGGATCTCATCTCATTAAAAAGCTTCTGCACTGCAAGAGAAACCACCAACAGAGCTAAGAGACAACATATTGGAAAGAACATTTAGCAGCTGTACCTTAGACAAAGGACTACTATCTAGGATATATAAAGAACTGAAAAAAATCAGACCCCCCCAAAGTTAAAGACCCAATTCAAAAATGAGCATCTGAAATGAACAGATATTTCTCAAAGAAGTAAAAGCAGCAAATAAGCATATGAAAAAATGTTCAGTATCTCTTGTCAATGGAGAGATGCAGATGAAAACAACACTGAGATTTCATCTCACCCTAGAAAGAATGGCTGCTATCAAGAAATCAATAACAAATGCTGGTAGGGGTGTGGAGAGAAAGGAACCCTTATCCATTGTTGGTGGGAGTGCAGACTGGTGCAACCACTGTGGAAATCAGTTTGGAGATACCTCAAGAACTAGGGCTAGAGGTCCTATTTAACCCAGCTATTCCCTTGCTGGATATCTTCCCCAAAGAATTAAAAGAATCATGCCACAACGATATATGTGCACCCATGTTTATAGCGGCACAGTTTGTACTAGCTAAAGCTTGTAAACAGCCCAAGTACCCATCAACTGGCAACTGAATAAAGAATATGTGGAGTTTTTTTTTTTTAAAAAATGAGGTACTACTAAGCCATAAAGTATGAGAAACTAGAGACATTTATAGCTAAATGGATGCATATTGAGGCCATACTCTTAAG